AACCATGCCTGTGAAATATTGAAATACAAAGAATATTTAAAAAAAAAAATGCGTTCAACTTACTAAACTGCTAGCCAATGTGTAATGGAGTAATTACTTAACACAGGATGAAACCAAGGGCAAAAAAAAGTAGAATAATAAACAAAATATGTCGTGTACATATGTTAGTGTTTTCCTGCATTTGCTTTGCTTTGGTGTTCCATGGTTGTATAAATGGTACTACGCTAATTCAAGTCTTGCAGTTTGTTTCACGCATTTTACCTCAGCAAACATTCATATGAAACTTCAGGACATTAATAATCAAATTCATGAATCGAACACAGTGATTCGCCCAAACATTAGTTACTCTTTCAGCTTATATAAGATGACACAGTACAAGTAAATTGAAACGAAAAAATTAATTGAAAAAACTATAGAGTGTAGGGAAGTCCGTACCTTGAATCGGCGAGTTTTAGCAAGTTCTCGAATGCCATTTATGATCTGAAACGTGCGTGGCTTCTCTGTGTTTGATCACGATATAGAGAGAGTGTTATAAGAAGGGTCGATGTATGTTGGACATAGTTTTTATTCATTTATTTATCTCTTTATGAATTACTTTAACGAATCCATGATAATGGATTGTTGATACTACTATGCTGCCACAATATGGTTAAATCGAGCATAGAAATAAATATATTTCTTCGTTTTGAAAAAAGGAAATGGTAAACAGACCTTAACTACACTCTTTTATTTTAGATTTTCATTTACGTTTTCAAATAATTATTCATTGTTTTTTTTCTTTATTATTTAATATATTTTGTACAATAATTTATTATAGATGGATGTAACATTCAAATATCATATTAATAATTGAAAAATAGAGCATTAAAACTTGCATTTCATTAAACGCATTTAATATATTTAAGTCTCTATTTTAAAAAGTTAAATTAAAAAATTGTATTGGAGTCTAAATTTAAGGATTAACTCTTTAATTAAGTAAAACTCCAATGTCTTATTAAAATTTGTTAATAAATTTACTTGTCATTTCATGCATCTTGCCAGTAGGCTCTTTCTAAGGCTCAATGAGATTTCTTGCAATTTATAGTTACTGGTCAATATGCGTGAATATTAATTAATTTAGAATTAATATGAGGAAATATATACATGATAATGAATGTTAAATCATTTATTTAATTTTTAATTAAGTAAAATGAGATGTTAATTACTATTAATGAACATGAATAATGAAATGCATTATTAAATGTGAAATTCTAATTAACTTATAACTAGAATAACTACTATTGAAATGCATAAATGAAGATGAATATTAATTCAATGAATGTGAATGTTAATTAATTGAAAATTAATAATAGGCAACTCATACATTAATGAAAGCATACATGTGAAATGAATAGGTCAAATATACATATATATTGATGATAACTAAATGATTAAATAAATTAAATACATATTGGAAAACGAAAAGTGGAGTATTATTGAAATGATTGAATTATAGTATAGTTAGATTCGTAAAAAAAAATGATTTTCTTCTTATGTGATAGTTAGCCACCGTTTAGCCCTCGTTATTTTGTATTATAATTTTTGGAATAGTGTTTTTTTGGAAAATAGGTGGTTGAAAATTAGGGAAAAATTTTCGATTTACATGTAATATTGTTTTATTGAAGAATGTGTAATTAAAAAATGAAAGAAAAAATGTATTATAATTTCAAACGGGGCGTAATATATTATATATTAGTTTCTATATATTGTTGTCCAAAAATTATACACAATAATAATTAATTATGGTGAACTTATTTAGCACGGATAATCTTACCGATTTCACCCACTCTCGCATTTCTCAAAGGGCTCCGGGACTGGAACCGGGAGTCGGAGTCAGAATTTGATGAATTAACAAACCACAACTCCATAACATCGAATCTTATCAATATTTTTTCTTTGCTTCCATCTTCATGACCTGCAGATTCTGTAAGAAATCGATCTATGATGTGCGATTCAATGATATCTTCGGCAATATATGCTGCATCCCTGATTTTTGTCTCCATATCTCGTGTTATTTTTTGTGAAGACAAACAATTTCGTAAGAAAGTAACTTCTTCGACAAGTGATTCAATTTGCTTTTTCTCATCTAGAATCAAATATTGATAATCACGATTTAGGGTCTGGTGTAGAATTTGAGCAAGAGAAAGAAGAGCAGCATAAGCCATCTTCATATGTGCTCAAAGTAAAGAAAGACAGAAAATTACAGCAAAATGTAAAGCGTTCGCTTTGATATAGCAACAAATTAAGGAAGTATACAATGGACTACTATTTAGCCCAGTTTGAGACTGATTCTCTTTCTCATCCTCATTCTTTTTTTTCATTTCAATCACATAATTATCAAATAAAATAATATTAAACACAAATCTAAAAATTCATCACTTTTTCATCACACATTTTCCCATCAATCACTATTTCAAAAATTTACAACCCGTTAAAAATGAGGGTCAAACTCTCAATGGACAGAGCCTTCCCACCAAATTATGCAACTTGTATTACTTTACTTTATTATAATACAAAAGTGTGAAAATGCTTGGTCCCCTTCTTGTCACTTGTGCCATCCACCCTTCTGCCCGAAACGTCTAGAATCATAAAATGATGATTGCAACTCACGTGCTTAGCTGTTAATAATTTTTTATTTAATTATATCAGACTATCATTATTTAAAAACTCTTTTTTTTTTTAAATGAACTTTTAACCCTAGATCTGTGAGAACACAATTTTCTTAAAACAGATTCGCCCCCTCATCGTATGTGCTTGAGGTTTAAAATAAACGTCTTTTTCTCAGGATGCAACGAAAGACCAATAAAGTTTGAACACCACGGAAACTACTCCGACGAACAGAACGTGTATTAGAACAATATCACCAAAATTGGAAAAGAATCTGACTGGAAGACTATGCAGAATGCAAGGAAACTATGTAACATGCAAATAAAATATGCCTTATGTTTTTCTCGTGTTGAATAGTGGAAATTCGGGTTTACATATATAGACAATTCACATGAATGGTGAGTTAAATCCGTCTATAAATATGTCATTAACATGTATTCTAATGACACTAACTATTGGAGTTTCAATAGTTTAGAATTTCAAAGGTCAGTTGGAGAAAAAGAAAAAAAAATATGTAGGCCCTCCTAAGGGGCCAATTTTTTGGTCAATCCGGTCCGACATTCTTGTATGCAGGTCGCGCTCACACACAAGTTCAAAGTTTGAAGCATATTTCGGTCTGTGATTTGCACCCCCCTGCCCGCGCACGTGGAGAGAGCCTCTACGCTACACATGATTACACGCTTTCAAAGTATAATCATTTATAAAGTGGTTTTTGCCTTTATCATTTTCCTATGTGGGACAAACCTTAATTGGTTTCCCTCCAACACATAAACTCCTTTCAATTGAAATACTTTGAGCTCAATTTCTCATTCACCCGAATATCATTTTTCGCAAGTAAATATATGATTTCGATATTCTCACGGAGGAGAACTGTAGCGCCCCGAGTTCTGTTAACCCGGATTGCCACGTTGTCGTCTTTTGCCCTAATTTTGTCAATCAATTTTGCGGAAATAACCTAATTTTTAAAATCACATTTGCAATTGAAAACTACGTCGGCAATTAAAATATATTGGATAATTGTTCAAA